CCCGAAGACTTTTGAACTCGTTAAACAACACATCTTTTTTTTGTAACAATCGTCGTACGTCGTTGTCCAGAATATCCTTTGCCGAATACTGACTAATGTGCTCCATCATCTCTCGTTGCACGCGAGTACCAATTACGTTGTCCATTTGAAGCAATTCCAACTTGAACATTAAAAAAATGTTTTGTGGGCACGAAGAGAAACGCGCATCTTTGTTAAGTAGCTCCCACTTTGCAATTTCACGATAGCTTAACGATGACGTGTCAACGCCGGTCAAGCAAGCTTCACCGCAAAATGAAGTCGGAAAGGCTAATTCCTCGACGTTTTTTTCCATAAAGATGGGCATCGGTCTTGATCCTTCGCCCGGTGCCATTTCCACAACGAATTGTTCCAAGTTTTGGTATAAAGGCTCATTACAAAGAATCGTATCCAAAACGCCGACATTAAGGTCAGTTTCGTCGATATCTAGCTCCATTTCCTGGTCAGACAAATCAGCGTCCTCTTCACGAGATTCTGCACCATCCATGTTTTGATCGTGTGATAGGAACTCATAATGAAGTTCTCGATCAATAAGCTCCTGTCGCAATTCAGACATCCTTTCCTCATCCAATGTGATTCGATGTTCTTTGAAAAGGTTTTTTTTTTTTTTTTTTTTCAAGAAACGAAAGGGCACGCAAAATCTTAGTTGGCCTGACATTGTCTTCGAATACGTTATGTGTGTTACGCAATTTGCGTTTGAAATGAAAGCGCACTGAGTGCGCTTCCTGTGGTAATCTAGGTAATGCAGTCACCATGTCAACAACTTTAACAGGAACATTCACTATCCCACCTCGTATCTTGTATTGTTTTCCCACGTGACTTTGTGTAATGCTTGAAAACACAACACGTGGTGAAATTAATCGCTCCTCCAACATCGATAATCCAGTTAGCGCTTTTTTACACTTCAATAACACTGCACCGGCCATTTGAGAGAGAATGAGGCTTCTTTGATTCGTAATCTCTTTTTTGCAACTGTTACAGACGTTTCTCGATTCGAGAAAGTTAGTACTTTCCAATTTAAACAATTGACGTTTGAACATTAACTTGTCGAAACTGTCGCACGCAAAGGTTGGACCTTCTTTAAAAGCTGCTTCAAATCGCACTGTAGCTTGCTCCATGTTTTTCGAACGTATGTCTTCTTCATTGAGTTGTTCTTCGACATCAGCAAATATTGCATCCAGATCATCCATGCGAATAAAATCGCCGTCGTTGTAAAAGTCGTTCACGTCAAATGATAGGTTTTTCCTGCATTCAGGGCCAAATATTAAATGCATGAAATATTGTCTTGCACGTGCTGCAGACTCTTCAGAGTCCCATTCTTCGTATATGTAACTATGACCGCGCACCATCATTTGAAATCTTTACTTTTCACGCCCTTGGTACACGCCAGTATATGTCTTCTTCATTGAAGTCTTAAAGATTGAATCAAAAAAAGGAATGCGAGAAAGTTTTCCATTGTCGATGAAATAACAACGATCAAATCGAAGCTTCTCCTTCGTCTTTTAAGCCTCAGTACGTCAAGACAGCGTATTGACGTGCCCATGCGGCATGACCATTTGTAGAAAAACCTCATACACGTATCTTCTCTTTATTCACCATCAATCTAATTGTAAAACGGCACCCTTCTTCAATGATGCCTACAAGATCTGCACTCTTTGGTGCAATTTTAGGAATCGAGAAATGAATATCTCCATTATCACCAATTTTCCCATCGAAAAAGTTCAGTAATGTCACCTCTTCAAGAACGTTATCATCACAACTAGATCGCACATCCTATGCTCTAATGCTTGGCGTTGTATCAAACTTATTATATGTAGATGACAAATCCACGTTTTGTAGAACGTAACGCTTTTTTTCATCCGAGTCAGGTTCAGCAGCCAGCACGACCTCATATGATACTTCGAAAAACGCAGATGGAATTACTACGTTCCGTTCAGTGGAAAGATCGGTGATATTTGTCACATGCGATTCAATTAGTGCACTTGATTCAAGAGAAAATGAAGTGCCCCGAATTTCGCCTTCATCGCATTCTTCAAGAAATGTGTAATGGTTACTAGATAACGAAAGATGAACTTGATTATTATTTCTAAGAAATTTGATTCCTTCGCATTGCACCCATTTGCGGGGATCAAACCAAATAATCACGATCATGTTCATCAACTCGCAAAATGCTTTGATTTCGCAAGCTGAACCCCAGACCGAAGGGTGTTGGATATAATCAATATATCCTTCCGCCGATTCTAGTGGCACGCCATGACACAACGCAGCCAAGTTTTTATACTCTAACCAATTCGCACGTACATACTCAATGTTCTCTTTCAATGGTTCCCAAAATTCGTCGTTCTTAAACACTGCGAGTGACAAATATCTATATAAACAAGCCCCATCCCCAAGAAATTCTAAGTACTTCTACGGAAGTGCTTAAACCTCACAACAAGCGTAAACTCAACAACACTTAACTTCACTTAATGCCCTCCGAGTGTGACAACTTGTCACCTCCCAGCCAAGGGCATAGTCTAAGGGAGTAGTTATGCCTTGCTTAGCTCGTAGAAAGAGTAAGCTGGTCGAGCAGCAACGTTTCTATCTCGTCAATACGTAGTGATAGAGAAAATTTCACTCAAAAGGATGAAGTACAACTGAACACAAGCACGCATTTATATTTCGCCTATCATACAAGCATAGGAAGATAGCAAACGGTTGATAAACTGCATTTGCAGGACTTCGCCAGCTTGTCCTTGAAAACGGTTGGCAAACTTCGGAGGAATTTGGCTTGATTCACCTCTGTAGAAAAGCTGTCTTCAAATTTCATATCTGCCAAATGCCCCTGCTGACTCCTCTTACGAGCGTTCGCGAATTCGGATGACCACTCACTTGTGTGAAATACCGTTTTCAAGAACGTTCACAGTTGAAAAACGGTTTTCACAGATTTTGTCCCTGTGTCGAAATTGTCGCGTTATGCGCGCAAACTTTCCGGCGAATTTACATGTTCGCCGAATCAACGCGGAAATCGTTTTTTCAACCGAAATCTCGAGCACCCCCTTGACCGCAATCATGCACGACCGATATTTCGGTCGTGCGGCACTGTGCACTAACGTGCGCATCACTGCGCGTGGGCAGGGTGATCATTCGGCCTGTCTTGTTGCGATCGTGCCCATAGTGCACGCTCGCAACAGTGCGAGGCACACGCGCGGGCCTGAGGGCCCACACGCACAATCTTTTTTTTTTTTTTTTTTTTTTTAGGTAATTGATATGTACACCGATAGAGCAAGCATACATAACCAATAACAGTCGTAACTGTGCATGAGGGGCGCCCACGTGGCTACCCCAGGTGTGGCATCTATGGAGGTCGGTGAGTCACCCTCGGTGCAAGCCAGACATTCGAGAAGGCCTTCGTCCATGTCCACGACTTGCAATTTTTGTCCCTTTCCCCTGAAAGCCGCATCACAGCGCTCCACCCAAAGCTGATGTAAGGCAATCGATGTGATCGTGGCTTCCGGAAAAGCCGTGCTGGACCCCGCCTTCCGGAATAACAGATCCCCCAAAGATTCCACCGCTCGCGAGCTGTTCATCAGGCGGAGCGTTTTTTGAAGCGCGGAGGTGACTTTCTGGATCTTGGGGCAGCTGTAGAGACAGTGTTCGAGGGTTTCAACACCCCCACAGTACGGGCAGGCCGGTCTGCTGCTCAAAAAGGCTACTCTCTCCCCCACTTGCAGATTCAGGTTATGGATGCGCAGCAAAACGTCCCTCGGTCTGCTAGGGACAACCAGAGAATCACGGATGGCGATGGTCATTTTTCAATCTATCTTTCCATTCCATCTGCCCTTCCACAGTAGCTGCTTCGCAGATGGTTTTTGCCCCTCTTTCCAAAGTAGCTTCAACCGCTTCAGTGGCGCAATCCCCCCGTTCTCAAAGATGGGGAAATCTGTGAGTTTGCGCCCTGCCGAATGGTACGCACGCCGAGAGCCAGCCGAGTTGAGCGCACACATCCCCTGACTGGGTGCGCTGAGCAGCAGTTCTTTCCATTTCTGTGGCGCAGCTACAAACGCCTTCCTCGCCAACTTAGCCGGTCCTTTTCCGCCAAACTCCCTTTCCAGAGTAGCCAAGTCTTTCAGCTTTAGAGCGCCGTTGCTGCCAAGCTTGATCAAATCCCCCAGCCGTTTTTCCCAGAGAGGTTTCGCGTCCTGCTGACCACCGACCGGCGTGGTTCCCTTCAGCAGAATCCGCTTGTTGAAGACAATCCGCTCACTTGCCACTGCTTCCTAGGTGTTTGCCTCAGGAATATTCCCCAACGGTGTTTTCATGAAGTTCTCACACGCCACCTTTCACCGAACGCTGTTCCCCTCCCAATGTTTCAGCAGCTTCTCATGGGCGAAAAATGATTCAATGCCCATGGGTAGATCGGCCGCACGCGTCATCAGATGCCGTTTTAGCTGATTAGTCTCCACCGCCATCAGGCCCACCCTTCTCGCCGTTAAGCACGCCAAGATCATCTCCGGATCGTGTACCCCCACGCCTCCCAGCTTCCGTGGTGTAAACAGCCGCTCTTTACTCCAGAGTCTAAACCCCTTGTCCGCCGTTGCTTTATTGCCCGAGACAAAGTTCTGAAATGTCTTGGAAACTGTGCCCCACAGCTTCGCAGGAGGTGGATAGACTTGCGCCTGAAAGGCCGCCTTCGGCATTGAGTAGCTGTTGATCACCGCCGTCCGTGCCGTCGTTGGAAGGTATTTCTGCTCCCACTTTTTGACCTTCCCCGATATGTCCTCTGCAGTTTTCTCCCATGTTGGCAAACAGCTACCGGAAGGAGTGATCCACACACCAAGCAGCTTCTCCTCCTCATCTTTTTTCACCCATCTGAAGCTATGAGTCCGGCCGGTCGTCCTTCCAAGATTATTACCCAGAGGTAAGATGACCGATTTTTCCCGGTTCGTCGCTAAACCGGATGTCATCTCAAACTTCGCCAACACCTATTCTGCTCTTATGATCTGCTGCTTCCCTTCCAGGATCAGGGTGGTATCGTCCGCGTAACTGATATACGCCAGCCGCTCATTAGCCTTGCTGATTCCCATCTTCCGCTTGAGGACCGTTTGCGCCAGGGGCTCAACCGCACACAGAAAGAGGTATGGCGCGAGCGGGCATCCTTGTCTGACTCCGGATACCACCTCCACACCTTCCCCCATCCAGCCGTTTACTAACAGTCGCGTCTGTGTTCCCTCATGCAGACCTTCCACCCACTTCACGAAGCGATCAGGGAAGCCCATCGCTCTCATTGTCCGGAAGAGGTAACCCCGCGAGACTGAGTCAAATGCCTTCTTGAAGTCGACAAGAAGGAGGAACCAGTCTTCGTTATCTCTCCGCGCCGTATCAATGATATCAGCCACAAGTCCCACCGCGTCTGTCAGGCGCCTCCCCGGTAAGAAGCCGTACTGCTCCGGCGATATCACTCTGCCCAAGAACTTCTTCATTCTGTCAGCCAGGACCCGCGCCAGCACCTTGTAGGTAAAGTTGAGTAGAGTGATGGGCCTGTAATTGTTAAGTTGGTCCTTGTCGCCTTTTTGTGGAGTAGGATGGTGACTGCTTCCTTCACTTCCGTCGAGAGGGTTGCTGACGATGCGAAATCTCTTGCCAGTGCCATGAAACCTTTTCCCAACAGGTCCCAATGCGCTCACCGTTTGCAGCTCAGAGATCTGAGTGCTTGCCTTTCTTGCTTGCACCATCGCCGTCAAGTGCTGTGATGCAACTTCCCCTCTGAGCTCCAGCCGCATACCCGACATCAGGTGAAGCTTGTCCTTACGCGATGCCTGATATTTCTGCAGCTGCGTTTCCTTCAGAGCTAACTTCTCGCTCGTTGCTTTGCAGGTCGGGTCACGCATCATCACCTGGCGAAGCTCCGCAACCACGTCGACCAAATGAGTCGCTGTCGCCTTAGTCCGCTTCCCCTCCTCTCTTGCAAAGGTGCGAAGGCCGACCGCCAGGCGCGACAGCAACAGCTCGAAGCTGATGCCGTCCGTGACCGCACATTTCTCTACCGTCGCTTCCACAATTTTCCGAACACCCCGCTTATGAACCGTGGAGGCGTGAAGTCTCCAGAGACTAGGACCGAGGCAGATTTTGGCATCTATTCGGAGGGCAATCCTAATCGCGAAACTGTGATCTGAAATATAGTCCGCCGGCATAACGTGAGATGCTTGGATCAGGTGAGGGAGAAGAGAATGAGAAATAAGGGCACGGTCAATTCGTGTGCTAGCTTGTTGGGCTTGCGAAAAGAAGGTGAACTCCCGTTTCCTCGGATAGAGCGTTCTAAAAGCGTCCGAGAGTTGGAAGGTCCGGCAGCGAGTGAAGAGTCTATCGTTTTCAGCAGTGGAGCCTAAGCGTGACGGCTTATCTAATATCGGGTCTTCTATGGTGTTAAGATCTCCGATAATGAGCAGGTGATTGGCTGGCGGAATGAGATCTATCACCGGACCTAAGGTGTCTCGGAGGAAGGTGGCACGGGAGGTCGGATTGGCTGGAAAGTAGCAAGCTACGACCGTAATCTATAGGCCGAGGCCATGGATGTCTGCGGACACTAAGCGACCTGAGGGGTGAATTAACACGTTGCGAAAGCTGAGGACTTGTGATCTACAAAGCAGGGCCACACCGCCAGCTTTGGATCTAGGCGAGGCTGCTGCTGCTAGGCTGTAAGTGGAGTGTGACCAGAGCGGGTGATCTGAAGCTATTCTAGTGTCTGAGAGGACAATGATGTCAGTTGCTTGTCTGGATCAGTCTAGAACTCGTTGTTGTTTGGACTTATCTCCTAGGCCGTTGACGTTGAGGCCTGCAAAGCTGATAAGGCTTTTCTTACTCATTTAATAACAAGCTGAGAACCCCTACGCATCCACAGGGTAAGAAGAAGACCGACACCAACTACGGAGAGGACTAGTGCTGCTGCTGCTGCCTGTCTGCCAAGTTGCTCTTGCTTCAGATCCCATATTCCTTCTTCGTACATGCACAATCTGGACCCCACGCGCGGATCCTGCAGTTGACCTTGACTGATGCGAAACTATCTCGCGAACACTCGCGACTCTTCACGAACACCAACGAAAACAGAAAAACAAGAACTAACATGAACCCTCACAAACATTCATGAACCACGCACAGACTTAACGGGATTTCACGAACACAGAAATTCACGAACATAAAATCAACACACACTCATGACAACTCGCGAAACTACGCAAACGCACACGGCATCTCCCAATCATTCACGGATTTTCACGAACGCTCAGGAACACACCCTTTCACGGAAACTCACATAACTCATGAACCATCAAGCCGATTTGTGAGCCGTAAACACAGAAACGTAAACAAAGAAAATGCGCAACTCACACACAGCAAATTACCTTCAAACCAAACACCTCAATTTTGCTCAACAATGACGAATAGGTGGTAGGTTGTCGTGCAAATCATGTATTGCACCCAACACGAAACACAAATTTTTTTCTTAACGCACCATCAAGAGAGGCCCCCGTGAAAAGCTCCATCTTCGATTTCGACGAAGTGCACACGTAAAACACTCCCACCAATCCGACTACGAACACTGAAAAAAAAAATAAAACATACATAAATGGTTGCATGGTTACCAAGTGAAACAAATTATTTCAAAAGTTTCAAATTAACAAAACCAATATTAAACAATATATGAGCTATGTATTACAAGACAGATCAATATAAATATAAAAAAATGCAAAATCAAACAAATGCCATAAATAACATCTACTATGCAATTTTATATACCGTACAACATAAGAGTTTCTACCAATAGTATACTTCAACACCTGCCACCAGAGCTCATCTAATAAAATTTGAGGTACAAAAAAACTACTTGAATCTACCTAAACCAACATGCACCTGAATCAAACTGACGACGTCAACGTAGCGCACATTTCCCACCCACCTCCAGCCTAGCCTCTGTCTGATTCACCACTCTTTAGGTTGTTTAAGATGAGCTGCTCAACAGATTGAGACACAAAAATTGTATATTGATCTGTAGAACAGCCACAAAGAAAAAACAAATATCATTAGTTTGTGCTTGAAAACAAACAAGCACAAATGCTACAACACATACGAACACCTGATGCATTAAAAAAGACACAAAAAAGGTTCCATTGTAAAAACATTATGTTTAATTCCTAATAATCGATTACACCTTGTATGTAAACACAAATAATCTCAGCGTATGCTACAACTGAAATTGATAATTTCACTTATGCAATATTCTTCCATGTCTAACCAAAATATAAGCTTCACAATGACAATATTCATCAAATTATTACATATTTGCAAAGCCAGCAGAGATTCCACGACTTGATATAAGATCCCTGTTTAGCTATGTAATCTGTCAACACTTCTGTAACGCAAGAAAAGAAGTGTGAATGGAAAATTGATGAAAGGTATTACTTGAATTTGCTGTCTTGGACCACAGTATAGGATAGGCAAACGTTACAGAATCAAAATAGCCATAATGGCAAAAAAGAAGCAAATTATAGAATAAACTAAAAATACTACAAAATGCCAAATCAAATTAGTAGAATAAGGTTCCAGGAAAGCCAACAGAGGCTTCTGTTAAAAAAATACAAAATACAAACAAAGGGTGCATATTAAAGGATAAGTTTAGCATCCCGAACTCCTTTTTGTAGATGGAAACAAAACCTCACATCATAGGAACTTAAAAAAAAAAAACCCTTGCTGCGTGCAATGTCAAGAGATGGGGACAACGACGGTAGAAAATGAAAGCCAATGGAACTAGAGAAACAAGAAGGGACTTGATGATATAAAGAAATGGAAATGAAGATTTTTTAGTAATAAAAAAACACAATACAAAGAGTGGATTTGCACAAATCCAGAGGAATACGCACACTGAAACTGTCTTGAGATTGGATACAAGCAGAGAAGCCTTTCACGCCTTGTAAAAATGCATGCACGTTTTTAGAACCACCACGAAAGCCTCCTGCTTGAATCACGGATGGAAAAACAAAGAGTTTAATGTTAGGAAATAGAAAGAAAAAGGCAGCAAGATAAGAGAACGAAAACATAAAAGAATAAGTTACAATAAGAGCAATAGGTTGAAGAAAACATAGCATAGCCATTGTCTAAGCTACTGTGGAAAATAACCATTGTAAAATCTTACATGAGGATGCCAAGGGCGCAAGAACAATGACACTCGGTGAGAATGAGTAGTAGCCTTTATCTTAGGAGGGTTATGCTTGGAGGGAATGGATGTGTTGGTCTGGGAGAGAATGGATGTGTTGGTTTGGAAGAGAATTGAAGTTTGAGGAACCAACAGTGAGCAAGTTCTCTGCTCACACACAAGCAAGTTCTCTGCTCACAACCAATGCAAGAAGAGTAGCTCTAGAAACAAGGTACAGATGCATAGAGTCACCAAAGCATAACTTTTTTTTTGCAACTGCCTTTTGAGAAACTGACCATGTAAGAATGTTGAATGTAGCTCATGTTCAGATGCGTTATCAAGCGCTTACCACTATTTTTCATTGGCCAAACGCATAAATCGAGCTGCCTTACAGCCTCCCCTAATCCAGCAATTGCCACCATAGACATTGCAAATAAGACAAATAGTCTCATTTGTTGTTGCTTTGCCTAGCCACAGAGCGTTTCTGTACTTCACAAGTGGGGCGCTGCTGTGGTGTGCAATAAAATCGTTTTTCTTTTTTTTTCCGGCAATAACAGAACGTTTTACATTTCAAACCTTAACAAACTTTTAAGTACTATTGAGCTTGTTAACCAACACTTCGAACCGGTATGTGTTAAGTGATATCTACGTCTGCGAGTTTCCCGATTCCTGACATAAAAAATTTGCGATCCCCCATGCACGTGCGACAAAGCCACCGAATTTCGCGCACAACTTTACAGCGCAGAATCTTAAAAAATCTTTGCCAATTCTACTTGTTGTTTCCGTTTTGAATCTTTTGAATACTGAAGCATCGAGCATTGTTGCCATCAGCTTCAGTTTTTGTCGATTCTATTCGTTTCCCAACTGCCCAGTCATATTACACTTACAGAAGTTTCACGTTTTCACGATTTCAAGTCAAGATTCTGTTTTTTTCTTCCTCGCCGATAGGGGCAGTTCGAACCGAATCGCTGCAAACGCGTTAATTTTGTGTCACGCGCGATTCTGCCATCAGCCAAATCGCAATCGCATCTCTGGCTGCCAAGTAGCGAAACTACACCTTAATGCTCACTCAACCGCCCATTCTGAACACGCCCACTGCCACTCCATACGCCCAGTGGTCGACATTCACTGCCAACGGCCCGCGCGTTACTAGCCCACGACAAAACTAAGATATTCTTGACCTCGAATAAGTTATTCGAGTTTCCCAGACAAGACACGCCAGGCTACCCAGATACAGTCCCATTCTCCCCGTAGCGAGCGCTTGCTCGAAAGAGGAGCACAGGGAAAGATGGGGAACGGGACTGAAATGGGCATCAGGTGTACCTGACAACTGCCCCAACTGCACCCCACCCAACTGCCATTTCTGTACAGCGCGACAGAACAACAACCGAGTTGGGAAGAGGTGAAACAGACAACTAGAACAGACAACAAGAACAACAATCAAAAACTGCAACTAGGCGAGAAGCGACAAGGCGATAAAGACGAAAACTCGCAGCTGAAAGAAACAGACAACAAAAATAGAAAAATAAAACGGTGCAACAGTCGAGC